AAAGTATCAATACTGGCTCATTAATTGTAATAAATGTACCACACTAATATAAGATGCTAATAATAGGAAAACTGTGCTAGAGTTGAGATAGTGGGTGGGGTGGGTATATAGAACTTGTTGCTTTATCTGCTCAATTTTTCCGTGAGTCTAATACTGTACTAAAAAAAGTCATTAATATTTTTATAAATAAATAAATAGATAGATTGGGATTTTGTAGCCCAGTGATATGTTCTGCAAATGTGTAGGTTGTATGTTTAAGCTTATTAAACGCTGGAACTAATCTGGCTATTAGTTTGTTTTTTTCATGCCTTTCAAATATTTTTGTTCTTTTGTTAGTCTTTGTCATTTGATAAATTTGTTCTCGGTTCTCACACACATAGATAAACTGACTGGATATGTTCATTGTGACGTATGTTGGTGACTTCTGTAATGATTGGATAGACTAAAAACTGCCTATTCTCCTAAAACTTTTCAAGGTTGTAGAATGTTGCATACAAGGAAAACGAAATTTCTGTCTGGCTAGGGGAAGTCATGGGTAATTAGAGCCTTGCATTATACTACTGAGGTTTAAACAAGAAGTGGAAACCATTGCTACCAGGATGATTGACAACAATAATTAAAATAATATTTTCCACTAATGACTTTTGGTATAGTGTGCTGGGTATTGCTAACACTTTTTTATACAGTTCTGGGAAGTTGACCAAATTCATTTCAATTTCATCAGGTAAGGCTGAGAGCACAGTTTTACTGCTCTGGACTCCCACAGTGATGTGTCATCTCTAGATTATACCAATTCTTGTAAAATGCTAAATACTATTGAGTGTGTAGATATTGTCACAATCATTATGTTTTTATGATGACCTGCACTGATAAATTGATTGGTCTGCCCTGCACCTCATTTAAGCGTAAATGACTGAAGACAGACTCCCATTCAAATAATATTCTTGACACACTACTATACTGAATTACCAAAAAAGCAGCTAAGTTTCCATGGAGCTGGGTGGAGCTCAGCAACGAGAAGCATTGAAAGCAGTCCAGGATAAAGGAAGGAGTGTGAGAAAAAGGCCCTGCCATTGGGTACTGTGTCTGATTAGGACCCTATGCACCTGCAGGCATCTCCAACCTTGCCATTGGGTACTGTGTCTGATTAGGACCCCATGCAACT